GATCTTTATCATTTGTGGTTATACCCAGCCTGATATATGGTTTAATACACTTATGACAGGGAACGGAATTTCAAACTGTTTTCTAATTTCTCTCCTAACAGTTCTTTGCTGTTTTAGTTGATGCCACAAGTCAGCTCTGCACTTCTGCTATTTGCACCTGAACACACATTATAACACAACACATACTGAATCCTGTGTGGAGCTATCATTGTTCCACAAGTATTACACCATTGTGACAGGAGGGGGAAATTATTTCAAATATTCAAAAACAATCTAACAAAATTTCCCTTTTTTATTACAGACTTCCTGAGGCACAAATGCACATTATTCATCAAGTGACTGAAATTAATGGTCATTGGTTTCAAATTGCACAATGGCAGTGATCCATTCGTTAGGCACTGATATTGATCAGTAGTTGAGTAATGGATGGGGAAATGTGGAGAGATGGGTGTGTTGCATACAGAGGGAAGATGCGTGGGGCTGCACGGTTTATGTAAAGCAACAGTCTGAAATGACAGTGACAGAGGAAAATGAAGTTTATTGGGGGGTCCAGTGGAGCATTCGACTGGAATTCATTCGTGTGTGCATGTGGCAGATGAATTTAAGGCTTTCTGCACGGCCCTCTTTATCCCTCAGCGCAGACAGGGTATTAACTGCACTGCAGTGCACAGGAGCCTAGGAGCATGTGCTGACAAACTCGGAACCCAAGGGAATTCCTCTCAGACAATCCCTCCGATTGCTCTTCTCTCTGGATTCTCCTCATTTGCCTTCCCCTTTATCCTCCTCCGCCCTATTTTCTATTCTCCTCTTCATCTCTAACAAAATCAAAGCAGCCCTTTCCCCCAGTTTCACTGCTTGCTTCACCTCACACAGCCCCGTCCGAGACTCAATCCCCTCAACGCTTTTTTCATAGCCCCTATGCACACTATACTTTACACCATCGTACCCCACAGTGCATAACCCCATCCTAACATCTCCTGCAGCACCAACAGTAAAACTCAGTGCAAGCTTCATAACCAGCTTGTTATGTAACCCACTCTGTAATGTCATATTTTCCAGAATACCTTGCCTGGTGCATGTCCCACAACACGAGTTGGTGCTGTGCTTTCAGTCCTGTCGCCATAATCTTTTTTTGTTACATCTCTGATCTCCTGTCGCCTTTCATCCTTTAAACATGTTCCAGTATCGAGCCTCAGGCACTGGTCTGGCTCACAATAAAGCCATCACCCCCCATCAACTGTAATGAGAGATCCACTTTAAATCCGTTTTCTCCTCCGCTCCATCCCTGTCTCTGCTCAGTGTCTGCTCATGGACTTTACGGTCTGTGGACCTCCTCCTCAGCCTACCTCCTGTAAAATCCCCCCACCACCACCACCACCAAACTCCTCTCACCCCCCTCCTTGTCGTCTGTGTCCTGCTGTGGTCTCCTCTCCTGTGCTGTGCCCCTGGCTTTAGAGGTGGTTGCTATGGAACTGCGTATCAGCCATTTAAGCGCCAGCACCTTAATGGATTTGCAGACAGTAAACAGAAACCACAGAATGCATCGTTACTCAGAAATAAATGGCTTTCAGCACAATCTCACACACACACACACAGACACACATACACATACATACACATACATACACAGAGGGAACATTTTGTTCTGGTACCAGAGGCAGTCCTGTTTCTCTTGGCCTTCGATGATGCAAAACATTCACTCTCGTGCTGATCATGTTTGTGTTGATGACTCATTGCCTTCTTTTTCTCTCCCCCTTCAGGACTGCATCCAGTTGAACCAGTATAAACTGAAGAGTGAGATTGGAAAGGTGAGTTTGGCCTGTTTTTGCCATGTTCCTCTTCATGTGCTTTGGGAAAATGGCTGTAGATAGGGGAAGATCGTCCTTTTACTCAGTTGACAGGGAAATAAAGTAATTCCAAAAAAATCATCCACAGTGCAGGTAGTCATGTCATGTGCGGATTGGCTCGTCTGTTTACCACTTCTTTACCAAGTCAAAATTATCTTTAATTCAGCACATCTGTATTTCTGAAGATGTTAAGAAGAGCAGGACTGGAAACTATTTTTTATGCAAACACTATCCATAAAAACAACATTCTCTTCTAAAGTCATTGTTTTAACTTCCTGGTTGTAATGAAAAACCTGGCATTGACCTCTAGATAATGCTGTTTCATATTTTGTTTTACAAAACTTTTGAAATCCTTGGCTACAACTGTATGTACCTTTTTATAGTCCTGTTTTTCTGAACACAAAATGTAATAAAATCTTATAACCTCCACCAAGAAGGTTATGTTTTAATTGGTGTTCATCTCATTTTGCAATAACTACAGGATGGATTACCATGAAACTCTGTTAAGGGATGTAGTATGGGTGAGGGAAGAACCCATTAACTTTTTGAGGGGATCTGAATAAATGGGCTGATCCAGGAATATTTTCTCTGCAGCTTTTCCCACAGCACAAGAACAGCGCTTTTATGTGTAGGATTCCTTGTGACTTATTGACACTTGTGGGTACACGCACATCTGAAACTGGAGCTGCCTTTAGAAATGCACTGAAGTCTGAAGATCCTCCATATTTTCCCCAGAGGAGGTGCATGTCATCAAGTGGGGGGGTTCATGATGCTTCTAATGCACAACAGGCACAAAACTACAAAACACACAAAAACAAAACAAATATCTGTGAAAAAATTTCACGTAGAAGACACAGACGAAAGTCGAACCACAAGTTTGCGGTGATGAGAGCTGACGCTGATGTCTGTTGCAAATAAAATCATGTGATCTCCCAAGCAGAGTTAATATGTCACTTCCTGCCTCTGCCAGCTGCTGCACCTGTTGTGTGGATAATGCAGTGGATTTGTGGCTGTTGTGAAAACCTCCCGCTGCGTTGTGTATGGGTGAAAGACAAACTCTGGGTAAACTCCGGACCCAATTCATCAGGTCATGTCCCTGATGTCCCTGCCTGTGACCTTGACACATTTTGCACAATCTCCACTGTTTTTTATTTGCCTATAGTATTTTCTATTCAATTTTTGTTTCATATTTTTTTAATGTTTTCTATATTTATAATAGCACAAACACACCACAGCGAAATTCCATGTATGTGTTAACCTACTTAGCAAGAAACCCGAATCTGTAGTGCAACCAGCTTCACAATACAGCAATGCACTCAAGTGTTTGGAAGGGGAGGGTGAGAGCCTGGACTAATGTAAAAAAAAAACATGGCAGCCTCCGTAGAGAGGGTCCCCTCGATGAAAATATAAAGTATTTAAATATAAAGGTCCTTTTCCGGGGTAAAGAAAACTATAATTCATACAATTTAGATTAAACGAACTAGTGAAAACATCATGAGGATTATTCTACATTAAATTTCTGCCAATAGATCCCTTTCACCTACATCTTACACACTGGACCTTTAAATAAGTGACTTCAAAAACAAAGTCATGAAGAGCCAGTGTTCATATGGCACAATACAAATATTTACAACATTATAAATAACATAATGACTTAAATTCAAGTGTCTCTCCCATTAGTCAATGCTAATGACAGCATTCAGTTATACTGTTATCTGCTTGACCTACTACTGTCCTGCTTTCCTTTTTCCTAGTTTCCAATACAAACTTTGAGAATGGCCCTGTACACACCTGAGTGTGTGAATTCACACTGGGTATTAACATGCGTCTCATGATCAGATCTCAATTACCCGCCCTATATGCAAATAAACACCTACATCATTTCTGTTCTAGTCCCTGGCCACTTTGTGAGACACTGCTAAAGTTTTTCAGCCCTCAGGGGCCCCCTCAAGTAGTTGCCAGCCTTGCCTGTTCACACACCACTGCTGTGTAGCAAACACAAGAAGCAAGTACACTTTAAAGGTTGTGTGTAAGATTTATGTGAGCTTTTGGCAGAAATTGAATTATAAAATAATCTTAGTGATGTTTTCACTGGTGTGTTTCATCTAAATTGTATGAATTATTTTTCTTTCTCTTTCTCAAATTTCTCCAGTGTGGGATTGGGAAAGTCCATCTATCCATCTATCTATCTAATTTGCTATCACAGGTTCTCTTTCATGTTTGGAAGGGAAGGGTGAGGTGAGGGGTGTTCAGCTGAAACATACAACATCACCACTAGATGTCACTAAATTCAACACACTGCACCTTTAACACCCCTGCCTCCCAGAGCCCGGCCATTAAAAGCTATCAAAATGATCGCATGTAACACAATTTTCATCAGCGAGAAGGTAAGACAAATWTTTTCTCATTCTCTTGTTCAATGAGAAAATTTTAAAACCACAACCTGCACTCGTGAGCTAAAAAAAAAAAAATTATCATGATAATTATCCTGATTATTGACTGATATYAACATTTTTATCGATGCCAGCCATATATACACCAACAGACTAACTGGGGGCGCCACAGATATTGAGTAAAATCATAATATACATTATCTCAATACCAGTAAGCAGTGTGTGTCATCCAAGTATCTGTAAGCCCCAACATTCAAATTTGACTTAAAGCAGCATCACTTACAAACAAGCGCACACACCACGCCAAAGGAGCATGTGATGACACTCCCGCTGCGTTGTGCATGTGTGAAAGGCAGACTACGGGTAAACTCTGCCAATTCACCAGGTTTTACCTAAGGGTCATGTCTGAAAACTGCTAACGAGAACTACTGCCAATGCCTTGCCCTCCAAAACATTGAGCTCAGTTCCAAGGACACTTTTTGTCAGCYAAGGGGACCAGAGACAGAGAGGGGCTCCTCTCATTAACATTGCACTATTTTTAAAAATTGTGCAGCCCTACAGTCAAACCAATAAAGAAACCGCCAAATATTAAGTGAGCTCTCCAGCCATTGGTGGAGCGACGCTTGCGTTCATCAGAATCAGAATCAGAAAAATTCATGCAGCCAACTCAAGCTGCGTTGCTTCAATCATGTGACGAATGTGGCAGACTGGGTTGTGGTTGGTTGCAACAACGCCACCTGGGGGAGTTTCACCCCCAGGAAATTAGAGAGGGAAAAGTTTAAGGATCACACATGTTCAATTATCCACAGGGGCAGTGAGCATTCCATATAAAAAATACATTTTATTAAACACAAATGAAAGTAACACTTAACAATAGAAAAACAAACAATACGCTGGCTATCAGGATACCAGGCAGGACAGGATAAAATGGCACTCAGGCATAGGGATTAAAAGGGAGGAAGGACAGGGCTGGGGCTTACCACAGCATCAGGGAAGCAAAATGGGGAGGGGACCACAGCCGTGACACTGTACACCAACTCAAAAAGGGAATCGTGAAGACCACCACCAGGGAGTTAGGCTGCTGCCTGGGGCCTACAGCACCTGTCCAACACAAAAAGAAAAGTTAAAATCATGCCATGAGTGCATAAAATGTAAAGTGATAGCCAAAAGGAACCAACAATGGTCACTTTAAAACACATTCATCCACACACATGCACACACTCAGGACCAATAATGGAAAATAAAGTAACCACACTCAAAGAAAGAAAAACAAGTAATCCACAAATTAACTATAAAATAGCAGAAATACAAACCAGAATAAACCCTTCAAATTATAGAAATGGAACAAAACCAAATCAACCAAATTAATATATCAATGGTTAGTGGCATCAGACATTGCCTGCCCAAGGTTACACCACCAGCCGATCAACACGGGTGGAGATGCCGTGAATGAAGTGGCCAGCCAGCACCAGAACCAGCGTAGGACAGAGCAACCAGATCCCAACAGAACCCACAGAGCCAAAACAGCAGAACTACTCCAGGGAGTGTTGGCGAGAGACAATCCACACACTTGACTGCAGCCTTTTCCTATGCACAGAAGGGCCAGAGTGTTACGCCAAATGGCACAAATACGCTGCGGACACAAACCCAACCCCAGCAGAGCTCCCAGCAGGACGACCGGTCCGTCAGTATAGCCGTCCACCTGCCGTGCTGTATGTATGGGAATGTGCCCCGAGGTAAAACACGCCACGCCAGCCACCACCCGAGGGAGCAGAGAGTGGAAGGAAGGGGTGTGGTGTGGCCGCTCACCCGGTTATAGAGACCAGCGCCGCCCAGTAATCAGGGTGCCATAACCCTAGCATAGTGCCACACACTCTTTATATACAGTCTATGGGCTACACATACATCATGTGACATACCTCAGTCTCCACAATCACCTATAATACACACCCAGCTGTCTATTTAAGCAGAGAAAATTTCCCATTACTCCCATTGCTTGCCCCGTTGCTACATCGGCATTGCTGTGGTACAGGTGGATACTGGGGTGGTGGAGGGGCTGAAGCAACTGGTAGTGATACTGCAGCCACATTGAGAGCAAAGGGGTTGATGGGAAATTTCTCTCTGCTTAAATAGGCCACCTAATAAGGTGGGTGTGTATAATAGATGATTGTGGAGAATGAGGTATGTCACATGATGTGAGCAGCACAGCTCGAGTTGGCTGCCTGAACTAGCTCGCAGGGTTTGCTCCATTTCTTTCACTGTTTAAAAATAAGTGATATTTTATATCACATATAATTCCTGTGATATGATAGTAATTATGTGTTTGTATCAAGCAAAACCTTTAGGAATGGATATAGTTCTTCTTTGTTTGGTTTATTAGCAAGTGGCAACCAACATCAAGGTGCATTACCACCATCTACTGAGTTGTTGCACAGTTCCTGGAGGTAATGCAATACCAGGTTGATCCGAGTGGATGGAGCAAGCACAGATATTGTCTGTGAAACCAAAGTCTTATACCAGGCTAATGAATATAGTTCATTACCTTTTTGTCTGCCTATGTTACAGTCACAGTTGAGGGGTGGGGCTGCTTCTCACTTGCAGTTTCCTTTGATCATTCAATTCTTTCAATCTCCTTTCTTTTGATTTCTTTGCCTTAATTACCTATCATGCTTAAATTATTTTAAATCATCCTTTAGTCAAAAACAAAAAGGAAGTGAAGAATCAGTCTTTAGCAACCAGCCAAAAACAGATTCTTCACAAGACACTTTGGAAAACGCAGTGTGAGCAGCTCAAAGAAAATATTTTTTTGTACACGCATATTGATACAACAGTTGCAATGGATACAACTCAGACACAGACTCTCCAATCTGGTAACCAATCAGACTTAAATGCTGAGATTGTCCGCCCATACTTCAATTCCTTTTTTATGAAGATCACTGCGGAGCAGTGGGGGCTGTTGAAGTCAAGCAAACCAGATGAAACCACAACAATACTGTTGGCAGATCTTCTGCTGAACTTAATGATGACCGTTTCCAATGCCATTTCGAAGCYAAGTACCCACGTACCTGTGTCTCTGGAAAGGGTTCAGTCCATTCTTGGCAACACTGTCAATAATGTTTTTTCACCAGGCAACACAAAACGTTCTAAGAGTTTGGATCAACTCACAGACCTGGTTGCAGAGGAGGTGACGAAGACTGTCAATTCCATCTTGTCTGCAAGCTCAACCTGTGTGAGCTCTGGGATACCATCCCGCACCATTAACCCCAGTAAACTCCAGAAGATGATCTGTTATGCCTGCAAGACGTTAAAGGCAGACAAAGTGATCAAACGCTTGTTCAAGAGTCAATCTCACAGGCAAAGTCATTCCATTTCCTCAGAAGAGCAGAACACTACAGACCATTCTGTTCAGATGGCTAGGGCCTCTTCAAGCTCCCAATCGTCACAAATCAGTTCCAACTTGGGAATTTGCTCAGAGGGTTCATCAACCAGTAGTGTAGAAAGTGTAAAGAGGATTATCCAGGAAACAATCAGCAATAGTTTGACTGACATCACAACATTCTTTAATGAGTTCAATGACAGTCTTAAGCTCAATGCTTTGATTTCTCGAGAGATTCATGAGGCTTTAGATGAAACTATTGAGTCAATCCTTAAGGAAAGCAAAAAGGGGAGGGAATCTCAAGAGCCAAGCTCCTCAATCCGTAAAGGAATGCGGACAATCAATAGGCTTTTCATAAAGACTTTTGCATCAGCAGGGATGCTCCAAATACTGACACAGGTCTCAAAGAAATTCAAGAAGGAGACTGAATTCAAAAGCAGGCTGGCAATAACCTCACTGATAGCTAGTATTGATACTGTGCTTCTGAAGCAGGGAGGTGGAAATGAAAGTTGTGCTTCCCAAACACTGAAAAAGCCTACATCTGAAAAGGTTKTTGCATTCACAAAACAGCTTTCTGATCTCATTTATGTGCACATCATACCTGGAAAGATTACAGAACTCAGTTCAAGTCCAGTGGCTGTTCCTAAGGCACATAAGGGCATGTATGCAGACATACAGACCAGAGTGTTCTGTTTCCTGTCCTTGATAAGCTGGTGGCTGAATAACCAGGTTAACAGCCACACAGACAGGGTGACGGAGGCTTTAAATGCCATTGACTCAATGGAAACATCATCAGAGATCAGCAGCATTGAGGAGGACACACCAAGGAAGTCAATATCATCAGAGATCAACAGCAAAGGGAAGAAAAGATC